CGAGTATATTCGATGCATCGAGTATATTCGATGCATCGAGTATATTCAACGCATCGAGTATATCCGATACATCGAGTATATTCGATACATTGAGTATATTTGATGCACTGAGTATATTCGATACATTGAGTATATTCGATACATCGCCATCTTTAATCCACGCATCACAGATTTGCTGAGCAACATCCTTCTGTTCCGTGAAGTCAGAGAGTCAGACAATTTCTTTCTTTCGGGATCATTAACTTCTAAATAAATCATCAGACACACAAAATGTGCCTAATTTAACTGTTGGAATGACTTCAATAAACAATAATTCATAAACATCTGGTGTGCTTTAGGTGACAAAACACACAGACAATGTTACTGATTTATTTAATAATATTGTTGGATGTTGCCATTTGTAGACGGTCCCTAAACTCTCATTTCACTTTCGGCATCGCGTTTCCTCCGGCTTCTTGTCACCCTTCAGCTCCGCACTAAAAAGAAAGCTCAACACCTGGACACCAACATTATTATTTATATTATTAGAGCTTTATTTATGCAGGTTAGTTCCCATTGAGCCTCAAGAACTCATTTACAAGAGAGACCTGTTATATCTGTGAGGACACTTTACTAAACTGAGAGAATTGATTTTTACCACCTCTGTTTTTATTTCTTTTCCTGGCACTTCGAGACTTCCATACTTGACTCATCTCATTGAGTTTTAGTTTAAGTTCAGGGTTTGTTTGTATTTATTTTTCCCCGTGTTTGTTTAGTCTTGGTTTACTTCCATCGTGTTCTTTTACCGCCTTTGTAAATGCCTCCCTGGTGTTTATTCTGGTGTATTTAGGCTCGTCTTTCCCACTTTCCTCTGAGGCCACGTGTTTATCGCAGCTATTTATCTACTCTGTTGTTCCCCTGCATTCTTGTTTGGCTTCACTTCAGTTTGATCTTGATTCTGCACTGCTTGCTGTTCATTAGTGACTGAGTCTTTTTGCTGTTACACCACGCTGCTTTACCAGCGTCCACATTTAGTTTTAGGTAAAATGTTTGTGGGATAATTTGAAGCTATTTTCTACTTTCTACAACTACTTGTGTTTAGTTTCTGTATTTAATTATGCTGAAGCAGATTTAAAAGAGAGCATTGTTTTTGAAGGAAATGAACACATCCTAATGTATTTCTGTAATAATAAGAATTTAAAAAGAAGCAGAATATTTTTTAGAAAAAGCCATAGCACCCCTGTCCTGAATCAGCTGAACGTTTTGATTTACGAATGGCTAAATTAGCCCAGTCTGCTGAAGTAGTTAGTTCGCAAAAAAAAACGTACGGAGAAATTGAAAAACAAAAGTGCTGGTTCAGCATTTACACCAATTTAAAGGATCCTAAAACTTTTGAGGCAGGAGCAATTTGTCTGGAACAATTGACAACAGAGGCACAATAGAGGGATTCAGACACTGAGCAGCAGCTGAGACAACGATGTGACTCCGATTATTTCAGACACAGGTCCACTTCACTGACAATGTGCTGCCTTCAGAGCACAAACACAACCTCAGTATTTGCTGGACTTTCCCACAAGTAAATCCCGAGCATTTGTTGAAGCTGTCCTTAGACTAGTCCTGCAGTCGTTACTGGAAGTCCCTTAAAAGAATGGTTCAGATATTTTCTGTGGAAAAGCTTACAATGAATATCTTACCTGTTGCAGATAGCACTTTAAACAACTTCGTTTTGGAGGAACTGAGTTTAATTCTGATCGGATTGACGAGATAACGAGTAATCTGCAGTTTTAAGCCGTCACCTTTGTTGAGCTGGTTGTCCTGAAGGCTGTAGGAGTCCAGAAAAACACCGCTGTCACTTTGGAGCTTTTCTCCCTCTGGAGATGTTCCCAGCTCAGCTGCATGGGCCTTAGACAAAGCCCTTTTCTGTTTGCACGACTGCCAACTGAGAAATGCAGATGAAAGCTGAATCACCTACAAGTGGGCTAATCATACACTTCTTCTTAGGGAACAATAATCCTGGGAAAACTCACCACTTGTAAGCCACATAAATGAGCAATCCAAGAACCACAGCCGCCAGAACAGACACATAGGCCACTATGTTGTTGCGTCCACCCTCGTCCTGCGGGGTAAACTTGGACGGTTCCGGTGTACGGTTGACCTCCTCCTCCTCTAGAAGTGGCCAATGAGGAGTCACGTGGGGCCCTTCGGTCTCACTGGGACGAGACATGATGTGCAGCTTCTTATCTATAAGAAAAGGAGACGCGTCAGGGAGGAGCATCAACACTTTGGACATGTTCATTAGGGCCAGATGGAACGATAGCCTCCGTCCTTCTGAGTCCCTGAGGATTTTTAACCTTTTTTTTTTTTCCAGCCTCCTGCAGTCCAGCTATTTTAGGATCAAACATGCTGACCTGTGTGGGGGGGGTCATAGGGTCATGGCATGTGAACTTTCAGTGTACAAATGACCCCACTCCTGGGGAGCATGTGTAGCCATTTGGGGGCAAAAGGACTAACTGTCAGGGTCAGCTGTCCCCCTCGGCCTTCAGGGGCAGTTAACCTAAAGACCCGCCGAGCTCGCTCGAGTTGGACTACAAGACTTAAGTGGGCTTTTAGGTTTTTATTACAGATGTTTCTCTGCTCAGAGGTGAGGATGCACATGTGGACCACATGCCCAGACCCTCATCTTCCCTCAATTCAGCTCACAGTTTTACATTTTTAATCAACCATTTGTGTCAGAGACGTTTGTTAAATTAGTCGTGTGTTCTTTCAAAGTATAAGCGACGACAAAAATCTGCAGTCCGTCTTACAGAACTCGTTGCTCCGTTTGCCATTCATTCATTTGAAACCTGTAAAATGTAAATTCCCAACACAAGTGGCACTGCAGCAATACAGCACTAACGCGGCAGAAAATTTAAATTTAAAGGAATAGTTCAGATATTTGTTGAAGGGAGGTTCTGAATCTACATGAACAGCTGATTTTTTTCAGCTAGGAGTCATTTTGAGACTTCAGAAATCTAGGGATGCACGATATTATCGGCATGGTATCGGCCGATATTAGCGATAAAGTTAAATATCGGACATCAGCCATTCCATCAAAATAACTCACCGATATAAAAGGCGCTGCTTTTTTAAATATATATTTATAAAGTGTTACATCATTTTCAGCCCCCTTTTTGGCATCTGCATTTGATGGCAAGCCAAACTGACAAAGACCATGACGAATAATGTATTTTAATTCCACAGCAGTAGGTAAGTAAGTCTAGGGGAAAAAGATCTGTATTGGTATCGGTTATCGGCCAAATAAGTTTTAACATATTAGCATATCGGATATCGTCCAAAAATCCAATATCGTGCATCCCTACAGCAATCCATTTTGTTCTTATTCTAGCTCAGACTACGTAGCTATCAGCTGGACAATTTGGTGAAGCTGAGGTTAAACAAAGAGCTGTCTACAGCAGGTAAGATATTGACTGCTCATTACCTCTCCACAGAACCCCACTTGCAATCTTTTTTTCTTTTCTTTTGTTTATTGCGTTTTAATTCAAAACATAGCAGAGGAATACCAACCGTATGTCTCATACAACACATGTGCAGCCATAAAATGGAAAGTTGAAAATGAAAAGAGGAAAGGGGAAAGAACAGTTAATGAAAAGGTAGTAACTGAATGAGTTATCTCAATAACATCACTTAAAGACAGAATACAGCCCTTCTACGAAGAGGTCAGCTTAGTAGCGATGTCATTGGCTGGCCCACAGCTGGGTTTGGGTTTTCCACTCAGAAAAGTGGTTTCTTTTTAGAATCGTGGTTTTTGGTTTTGTTTTTTTCTCAAATCTGTTGGTGCATAATTAAAGAAATGGTGACCAGCATTCAGAAATTGTTCATCATTTACCCTTAAGACCTAATCTTCTAATCTCTCCTTGCTTAAACTGCACTCAGCTTCAGCTCCACAGAGATGACCTGAGTCCACTTGTGGCAGGTTAGACATTATAAAACCAGTATGTGTCCGTCAGTAAGACCATGAGTCTGTTTCCCTGCCAGCACTCACCCATGCAGAGCGTGTCAGAGTTGGGCAAACAAGGACGGATCTCCACCTCGTTGTCTGAGCACCGAGTGCACATCTGGCAAGGTTTGGTGCTGTGATGCTCCTCTGAGAAGGTTCCTGGGCCACAGATCTTGCACAGCCTATCGTTCTGAGACTTGCACTCCTGGATCACACCCTCGCCGCGCCTGCACTTGGAGCAAGGCGCGCACACGCCATAGACATTCATGAAGAAGAAGCCGGTGTCACACTCGCAGTGGGTGTCGCTGGAGGCTGAGCAGGTCGTCAGGGTGGGGAGGCTAGGCGGGCACTTCGTACATGGAACGCAAGGTTTAAGGCTTTCAGATGAAGAAAATGTTCCTGGGAAGAAAAAATAAGAGATTTAAAACTAGACTACAGAATTTCTGAAGGAATGTTGAAAAATGCTAATGCAGCTACTGCCCCCACAAATCCTACATCAGTTCTGTAATACTTAGAAAAAAACACATTCTGATGGGCAAACTGTGAAAAAATGTAAAAAAAAAAAAAAAGGAAGATAACAAAAATGACAAAGCTGCTGCCAGTGGCTCATTTTGGTCACCACGGTAACCACACACCTGTGTCTCTCACTCCCTGACTGCAAACTTCAGAGAAGTGGACAGAAACGGACTGAAAACTAAAGGTCAGATCTTACACCTTCAAGATCTGAGGGGCAGAAGACTCTGATTGTCCAACATGTGCATTTTCCTGTTCCTGCAGTGTTTTATGGAGGAGACAGAAGTTCAAATGACCCCTCGCTTCCATTTTTTAGGAGAATATTTTAAGCTAAAATATAGCTGAAGTCTGAAAGCTTGGCTGTACACTCTGTGTTCTGAGGGGCTTTGAGAGAAAACCACGAGTCCTAGAAGTGAAGAAGTGAAGGACAATCTGGGTCTGTGGCTCCTTGAAGCTTTGACCCAACATAATGCAAAATATAAAGTCATTGGTTTTTATACCCACAGTAAAGATAAATGACAAGTTTTAGCGGTTTTTCTGCAAATGTTTAAATTAAATCGCTAAAAGAGAGAAAATAATGTTGATTAGTTTTAGCCATTTCATTTATACAACTTGTGACTTTACAGCAGGATCTTTCTCTCAAATCCACTAGAAAATTTTCAGACCTATAGGACAATTGCCTAGAAGAAATATGATGATTAATTAATTAATTAATTGAAAGATTAATCTAATTAAAGTTAAAGTATTTTTTTTATTAAAACTTATTAAGTCACATTTACATATCCAACAAAATGGCCTAATATTTAAACAGACTAAATTTATGCTTTACTACTTTAAAGTGGGATGCATACCGATAATTATTTTTATTTTTCTAAAGTTAAAAGGAAGACTCACATAAACCTACAGAGTTCAGGGTTAATTTTTTGGGGGTAAAATTGGTATGAAATATATATATATATATATATTCCCCTTGTTTACATGAATGTGGTCTTTTCTTTAGCCCTAAAATATAAAATTATTAAATGTTAAAATTCATTATATTTTTTTTGTTTTATAGTCACCCCCACTGGCAAAAAAATAATAAAATAAAAGAACCTCCATAAAAATTTGAAGTGGCCCATGAGCCAGCAGTTGATAATGACCGTGTTGCAGCTCTAGACACTTTGTGTTTAGTAAATGAAGGGTAGAAATGGTTCTTTTGATTTAAAAGGTCGCAGACCCCTGAACTAGGTGAAAGAAGACAAAAATCTTAACGTTTTAATATTTGATTGGTACATGTGCTAAAGTAAGAAATGTTTGTTTGCACAGGTTTTGACTTTTTCAAACATATTATCAACGGTCAGTTGAACATTCCATGAAAAATCCAAAAATCATGAAACTAAAACTGGTATTTGTGTTAAAATCATAAAGCTATCAAGATGCCAGTTCAGACACATAAGTTCCAACTCTCTGTGAGCCATTTGAACTTTGAATGATGTGTCTACTGTGAAATATGCCTGAGGTAAAGAGCTCCAAAGAGGGCTGAGTTTTTGCGTGTTTCCCCAAAATCCCATTGAGCTCCATAGTTTTTTGTGCCATTTGTTTCTCAGATTTCCTCCACGTTGTTTGATGCACATCTATGAAAAGTCACTCTAATCCTGATCGCATAGCTGCGTGACAAGATACACAAAATATTTTAAGCTCAACAGTAACAAGTGTGCTTCTGTATCGGCAGCCTTAACGAGGTTTGCCTTGAGAAATGAGTGGGATATATGAGACAAGCTAAAAATTGTAACATTAGATTATAAGTGCTTACCTTGTGGGCATGGTGCACATTTGGTATCCTCCTTCCCACAGGATGCCTCCACTCCAAAGCCGACAGGACACAGACTGCAACACTGGCCTGATTCAGTGAACTGACCGCTGAGACAGGCCTTTCCAAGAGTAACCTAAAGTAAACACGATACAGTCAAATAAACCACCGCCGCGCCTTTTACTAAAAGAACCAAACAGATTATTTTTTATCTTTTAGACTTTTAGATCTGTTTGTTTTGATGTGAGTTGCAGGAACCATGATGGACATTTAAACAAGAGGAAAAGAGGAAGTTTTCTTTTCTGCAGGGAGTCTTCTTGTTTATATAATTTGTAAAAAGGAAATCACACGTATTTCACCCAGGGCACGATGAAAAAGGAAAGGGAAAACGCTTCTTTTCCTGAACCTTTTTTGTTGTTGTTGTAATCTTTCTATCTGTCTTAGTTTTCACTCCTAAGTGCCCTGAGCTCTTATCTGCGAGTGGGCACTAAAAGAGACCCATTTGAGTCCTGACATGAGGAACACATCAGACATTCCTAACAGCTTGTGCAACAGGGTTGGTGCCTGACAGAAAGTGGTCGGCTTTAGGTGGGTGGGAGGAGGAAAACGAGCCCTATTCCTAAATAAATAAATTAATTAATATGTCAGGATGCTGGCCCAGAGATGATGGAGGTGTTTCTGGATGCATGGCTTCCTCTTTGCATGATGGAGCTTGAATTAACAGTCGTGGATTTGTGTTTACAGATACATTAGCCCATCGCTACTTCGCGGTTCGACTTTTGCAGACTCGGTCAGTTGCGGTTTTTCACAGTACAAATGTACACGACACATGACTAACATTACACGTAACTGGGACACTACGAGAGACAGTAAAAAGTTAACGAAAAAAATAATACTTCGGACAGACGCCGTCATTTTGTAGTTTTCTCTCAATAAGCCTACATTATTCTTAGTGACTTTGGCGCTCAGTGGATCAGAGAGCCAGAGATTCTTTATTGTCATTCGCACCTCATGTGGTACATGTGGTGGAGCGAAATTATGTACACAGGGTCCCAGTTACATCCAACAATAAAATGTATAAGAAAAACAGTAATAACATCTAAGATATCCTGATGCATGCTCAATAATCCAGGTAGAAAAATTCAAAAAAGTTCAATCTGGTCCTCTGGACAGTCAAAAACAAAGCAAAAAAGCAAAAAAAAATAAACATCTAAGATATGAACTAAGAAAAACATCAACTAAATATACACTAAGCACTAACAACATAAAACATTGAACATCAGCACAAACATGAACATGAGTCTGTGTGAGCAGATGTGCACGCATGAACACATCAACACTGAAACAGATCAGCAGCAACATGATGTGATTTTTCACAGTGGTTATTCTGGTTAGAGATTCATGAGTCTAACAGCCTCAGGGTATAAGCTGTTCCTCAGTCTAGTGGTTCTACACTTAATGCTTCTCAACCTCTTTCCTAAGGGGAGTGGGGCAAAAAGTGTGTGTGCTGGGTGAGTGAGGTCCTTCATGATGCAGGTGGCCCTCTTCCTGCATCTGGAGGTGTAGATGTTTGTGATGGTGAGGAAACTGACTCCAACAGTCTTCTGTGCAGCCTTCACCACTCTCTGCAAAGCTTTTCTTTCTGCAGCTGTGCAGCCTCCATGCCACACATTGATGCTGGAGCATAGGATGCTCTCCACTGCACACCTGTAGAAGGAGGTGAGGACTGAGCTTCCCAGACCATCTCGTCTCAGCCGTCTGAGGAAGTAGAGTCTCTGATGAGCTTTCTTGATCAGGCTGGTGGTGTTGTTGCTCCAGCTGAGGTTGTCATTCATGTGTACACCCAAGTACTTGTAGCTGGAGACCACTTCCACCGCAGATCCTCTTATGTTCAGGGGGTGTAGATGTTGTTGTTCCTTCGGAAGTCCACAATCATCTCCTTTGTCTTCTTCACATTGATGTGAAGGTTATTCTCTTTGCACCAGCTCTCCAGGTGTTCCACCTCTTGCCTGTAGCTGGACTCATCATTGTTTGTGATGCATCCCACCACTGCTGTATCATCTGCAAACTTTACAATGTGACAGCCTGGATGGGTAGCTGCACAATCATATGTGAGCAGAGTTAACAGGAGGGGGCTCAACACACATCCCTGAGGAGAGCCAGTGCTGAGGGTTATGGTGGAGGAGAAGTTGTGGATCCTCACTAACTGTGGTCTGTTTGTTAAGAAGTCTAGTACCCAGTTGCAAATGGAGGGGCTTAGTCCTAGTGTGGATAGTTTGTCCATCAGGGTTTGGGGGATCATGGTGTTGAAGGCGGATGTGAAGTCCACAAAGAGCATACAGACGTAAGAGTTTTTCTGCTCCAGGTGGTTGAGCGCAGTGTGGACCACAGAGGAGATGGTATCCTCTGTTGATCGGTTCTCACAGTATGCGTACTGATGAGGGTCCTCGTTGATGTTGATGGTTGTTTTGATGTGAGTCATGACCAGTTTTTCGAAGCATTTAGCGACTATCGGGGTGAGGGCCACTTGCCGATAGGCATTCAGACCAGTCACTGTAGAGCTTTTTGGGACTGGGATGATGGTGGCAGTCTTCAGGCAGGTGGGAACTGTCTCCAGGGTAAGTGAGGTGTTAAAGATGTCTGCCAGCCCCTCGCAGAGCTGATTGGCACATTCCTTCAACATTTTTCCGGGGATGTTGTCTGGGCCAGTTGCTTTGTGCAGAACCAACCGGGAATTGGACCAAAACTACTTCCCGCATTATCAGTCAATCTGAGTGCTGCATGCCGTCCCAGGGAGCCTCTCTGGCGAGGAGGCGTTGCTTTGAGGTCCGGTGTTTTCTCTGGCGCTCACCGGGACTTTTTGCATCTAGATTTGGACTCGATATGGACCATTGTGTGGTTTTGTTTGCAGTACGTAGCTACTGTACAGTATACATGTATATACATATGTTGTTAAAGAGTTTAGAACATTGCAAGAGTGTGGGAAGGGTTTATAAAGCCTTAAAATATTTATAAATACTAAAATAAGTATAGCGTTCCTACTTTGCAGTTTGTCAGGGGCCGATATGAGGTAAGAGAAATGCACATTCATTTTGGTTGTATTTACACAGAATGCCCTGCGCTGTAGTCCACTTCCTGCTTTTGGAGCGGTCTCCGGTCCGCTTGCATTCACACTGCATTTGAACCGCGCCAGAGTTCACTTCAACCGGACCAAGACCTAGGTATTTAGGCAGACCAGAGGTCGCTTTTTTGGTCTGCATCAAAGTTTGATTGTGCATTCACACCTCCCCAAACAAACCAAACTCTCTAGCCAAACGGACTAGAGTTCGATTAAAGCGGACTAAACAGGGCTAGTGTGAATGCACCCCTAATCCCTAATTGCTCCCCGGGTGCACACATAGCAGCCCACTGCTCCACCTGGGTGCATCCCAGATGTCATGGGTTAAATGCAGAGAACTAATTTTGCCATTGTATGGGAACATACAATAATGATAATCTCAGACTTCCGCTTCACTTATTGCGGGGGGGTCCAGACGGTAACCCCTGTGATAAACGAGTGACTACTTTATACCTTTTTTATGGGAAAATTTAAACCTTTGATATGTTGACAGTGTTTCACTGTGAATAAAATATGTTACATTTTACACAACGTCCCAACTTTTTCAAGTGTCCTTTTGTCCTAAACCCAAAGAAAATGGCAAATACAACCCATGTGAGCATGAGGGTGTAAATGAGACGTTTCAAACTCGGGGGGAGTCATTTCATCGAGGACTTGTATGAGTGTCCACTTGGAGTGAGACAACGTCTTTGAAGTCTCCGGGCCCTCCAGGTGTGTCTGTGAAGACCAGAGTTTCACTAACACCACATCTCCAGGCTCAACGCTGCGGCATCTTAAATATGCACACATTTAACGGAATCAACCCCCCCACCCCCCGCCTGGGGCTCTGACAAGAGCAAGCAGATGTCTAACAGTTAACCTCCTGCTAAAGGGAAAACGATGTCTCCCGTTTTTGTGTCTGAAGTCTGCCAAGACACACAGGGAACATGTGCAGACCTGCTGAGGCTCCAGCTAAAGCCCACCAAGCAGAAACACACACACACACACACACACACACACATGCACACGCAGTGCCATGGCCTTAGTCACATCCAAAAATGTACAGGAGACAGCTTTGAAACAGGGCTCGCCTCGGTCCAAAAACAACTCCCAGTTTTGACTGAGCTGCTTCACAGCTGAAGCTTCAAGAGGCTTCACGATGGTGGGCTCCAGCAGACAAGAGCCGAAACTGAGCCCAAGCATGCAGCAACAAAATCACCTTTCTGTGACAGACAGGGTTTATCGAACTTTTTTGACGCTAAACTCGTCTCGGATAAACAGCAGCTCTGCTTTATTTCCAACTTCAGCTTCAATTTCTGTCATTTCGGTGCGAGTCTCGGCTGATGTATCTCTGCCAGCTCAAACGGAGAAACAACTCAACCAAGAGCAGGAACTACGAGAAGCTCGGCTCTTCCTTCATGGGGGCGCAGCGTGCAATAAAAGATTTAATCTGTGCTCCGCGTGAGACGATTAAAAACAGTGATCCACGCAGCAGTGACTCAGTACATCCAAAGGGACTAAACTAGAGGAAATGAAACATTCTGAGAAAATACTTGAAGCTCAAAAACTCTGAAAGGCCAATCAGGCCCGTCTAAAACGTCCAAAAAGCAAAAGTTCCCAAGCTTTTCAGCCATGTGTGTACTTCCTCTGATGACCTTAGTTTAACTTTGGCATAAAAGTCTAAAATGTTTGTATTTGTAATCAAATGTACCTTTAAAGTGCAGAAAACATAACTTTTAATTAATAACTTCCCCTAAAATTAAGCTTTTTTTGTTACATTTTTCCTTTAATGTTGTGCGTGAGGCTGCATGGTGAAAATCCGTTTCACCTCCAAACAGGAAGTAGCTGTCACTCAAACGTGTGTCCCAAATTTATACTTTAATTCTAAACGAAGCATAACAAGCTCGTCATAAAACCAGTAGGAGTCACATTTCATGACTTCTACAGCATTTCTCCAAATACATTACTTACAACTTGGGAAACGATTGTTGGGTAGTTTTCTTGCCAAATCGTGTACTTGTACACACACTGAGAGGGCT